GGTGGGAGTCATGGTGTTGCCCCGTTTGAACCTTGGATTCCCCCTATTCACACCCTTAGGGATGATTGCCAGGATTGCCGTAGGCGTTTCGTTCTCTAGGAGTGAAGCTTAAGAGACACTGACATTTTCAAGTCTCTAGCACATCTCCGTCTAGTGGACCAGACAGACATACAGACAGAAACAGACACGAGGTCGATTGCACAAGCCCGCTGGATAGCTTTTTCAAAGAAGAGGGGCGGGCTAAGAAGCACAAACTCACTGATTGACTGAGCGATAAGCGAAGCCCATTACTCCACTGACCGGAAAAGTTTCATTCTGTTTGTCTGTATGTCTGTCCGCACGACAACTCGTAAAAGAATTGGGAGAGCGATCTGGGAATTTCAGGGTCGTTTTGTATCATAAAGAGACAAATCGAGTTCGAAGATGAACACTCTAGCTCAAAAATTGACTTTTCAAAACATTAAAAACCACAGGTTGCAAAATATTTTTTTTGAAACATTTTTTCATGGGCTTCTAAGAGGTAACACGTGAAAGTAGAATTCTTAAGGAGAAAATTTTGTCCGTATTGCTCTATCTGTTACCGTTTCGGCGCTATGGGGCATTTCTAGGCGAAAACAACGTGAAAAAGACAAAATCGTCGATTAAATCGTAAAACAGGCTTCATGTCACAGAATTGTAAAGGGAGTAATACTTCAACCACACATTAAGGGTCGAACCACACCCTCTTTTGGGCTTAAGGGTCCCCAAAATATCTAGTATCACTAAAACGTTGATTTTTACATAACACTCTGTCATAATTCGAACTTTTAATGTAAACCGTTACCGAACAGCAGAAGTTTCATATCCCTAATTTTAGAGTAATGAGACCTCTACAAATGGTTTCAGTATGTCAAATTTTGGGCCCGGATGGCCCTGTTCTCCCATAACCTCCCATTTGCCCGTCTCGGGTGTCAGCGCCGCAAGCCTAGCTATATGTGCGGCAGGCGCGTCGCAGCGTAACGCGTGAGATATCGCGAAGCCTGTTACGCGAGACGTGGTCTGGCGTACATAAAGCTAGTAAATCTGTTTCCGTCCGCCCAGTATGAACTAGCTATTTATACGCCGGACAACGTCTCGCGTAACAGGCTTCGCGTGACGAAACACTGTTACGCTGCGACACGCCTAGCTAGGCCTGCGGCGCTGACACCAGAGTTGGGCAAAGGGCACAGTCATAAACAGACCATCGGTCCCAAAGGCGCCAGTTTTGTTCCTTTCAGTTTGATTAGTTACCCCACCGGGCACCATCAAAAATCTGAGAGTAAACATTAAAATGTTTTGGGGGTCACTTCGTGTGGAAGAGCACAACGGACAACATTTTTGATCGAAAGATTCTACTTTGCCGAGTTCCATCTAAGGAAGCTGTTAAAAACATATTTTGTAAGAGAAATGTTTTGGGCTTCTTGTTTTTGATTTGTTTGACACGTCAATTTTTGAGCCAGAGGGCTCAAATAGACCATTCCGGTAAAGTGAAAAAAAGAAGAACAGACGAAAGAAGCAAAGGCGAGTATGAGAAATATACGGTGGTGCGTCGGTTCCACGGTCGTATCAAACGGTTAAACGTGACTTGTCTGATGTCTAAATTCGTCTGAGAGTTACTGACAATAGTTCTCACTCTCAGGCGACGCCGAATATCTAGTTTACGATGGATTACGTTCAAGCGGTCCCAAGGCGCACCGTACATTTCTCATAGAACACTTTGCTTCTTCCGTCTCTTCTTCTTTCTTTTCGGTTTACCGGAATGGTCTATTCAATTCAGTTCCACCCTTTTCTGATTCAAAATTACAATAAAAATTAGAGCCTTCTAGCTCAAACCGTTTTCGAGTTATCGTGCGTACAGACAAACAGACAGACGCGCAACTTTTTGATCATCACTGAAACGTATTTACAAACTTGGGCTTTTGGGGGGCCTGAGGCCCCTTAAGATTAGTTCCTTGCACACAAGCAGGCCCGCCCTTCGGCGGAGTTGTCAGCTCCATTTCGCTCCGCCGGCAACTCCGTTCAGCAAGAGCCGGGCCTGCTTGGCCTGCCGGCAGTGATGCGCAGCTCCTACCATTTCTGTCACGCGATCTGCTGAAGAACATAATGGAGTGAACGCCAGACCACGTCTCGCGTAACAGGCTTCGCGATATCTCACGAAACACTGTTACGCTGCGACGCGCCTGGCGCACATATAGCTAGGCCTGCGGCGCTGACACCCGAGACGGGGTAATAGGAGTGTATATACAAGTTTTCGAAATGAAGTCTTTTTGTTAACGATTTAATCGACCATCTGATCATTTTCTCCTCATTTTTGTCAAGAAATGCCCCCTAGCACCTAAACGGTACAAGATAGAGCCAAACGGACGAAATTTTCGCCCAAAGGGCTCTACTTTGACGGTTTACGCCTTAGGAACGCATAAAAAAAAATTGCTAAAAATACATTTTGCGACCTGTAGTTTTTGATTTTTTAAAAAGCCAATTTTTGAGCTAGAATGCTCATCTTCGAACTCGATCTGCCTTTTTATGATACAAAACGACCCTGAAAATCCCAAGTCGCTCGCTCAATTCATTCTCGAGTTATCGTGCGGACAGACATACAGACAGACAAACAAACAAACAGAATGAAACTTTTCCGGTCAGTGGAGTAATGGGCTTCGCTAATCGCTCAGCCAATTATATTGTAGTATTATGAGGTTTTACCCCTCCATAACCTAACCTGGTCACAGCAGACCACATCCATACATAAACTAGCTATACGTACGCCAGACCACGTCTCGCGTAACAGGCTTCGCGATATCTCACGAAACACTGTTACGCTGCGACGCGCCTGGCGCACATATGGCTAGGCCTGCGGCGCTGACACCCGAGACGGGGTAATAGGAGTGCGTATACAATTTTTCGAAATGAAGTCTTT